AGTAGCTCTCAAATTCATCTCTAATTGAAAGATACACAGTGAGACCCTGTCTCAAGAAAAAAAAAAAAAAAAAAAGTTTGTATATGGAAAGATATGGTTTACAATAAATGACCTTTAGTGATAAATCTGATATCCAAGAAACAACTCTATATTCTATAAAAAAGGAGTTTTTAAAATCTTAAATTGATGGTAGCTTTTGAAAAGTAAAAACACATACATGGAAATAGGCATAAAATGTGGAATTGTAGCACTTACAAAACAGTGACAACAAAACCGATTAGCAAGGTTTCAATGGAATTTAAGATTTAAGATTAAGTGGATGTGTTGACCTAAGACCTCATTCTTCCAAGTGCCAAGAGGTGTCCTAATGCAGTGACTATCTGGTAGCAAAGGGCACATGCTGGCCAGTGCCACCAAGGGTCATGGAGCGAGTGCTGGACAAACATGAGGCTCGGTGCTTTCCCCTGCCCTGCAGGCAGCACTGATCACCAGCCAAGTGGACAAAGAAGAAAAAGCAAGGAGCACAGATGCCACACACTAGTCCTGGAGTTGTCCCATGGTCCCTACAGACTCTAGAGTGTTGCACGCTGGGGCAGCTGGACTCACAGGGCCATTCTGCATCTTTGCCAACAGCCTGGCCCTGGCAGCAGATGCCATGCACATATGCCACGTGTGCCCGAGTGGGCTTAACGAGAAACACAGGGGCTTCCCTGAACACTCTGTCACTTCCTGGGCTGCAGTCAGTGATCCCCAGGGGCTGGCCATGGGAGGTGCCGGGAGGTCTCAGGGTCAGAAGCTATCTGTATCCTGGCTGTGGATATGTGCCTTTCACGGCGTGCAGACCCGACCCACAACGACCACTCACACTGCTGACCACGGCTGGCTCCTCATCGGCACAAGCCTGCTGCAGGGTTCTGAGGATGATCTCCAGGTGTTGTGTGATGTGGTCCTCGGCGTGCAGGAGCAGCACCGGCAGGAGCTGTGCAGACTTCACCCTGGTCCCCACCACCCAGTCGGTGATGTCGTGACAGATGGCGGGAAGGACTTTGGAGAGGTTTCTGAAGACCAGCTCCCGGCAGCCCAGCACTGGGCGGCTCTCTAGGGTGGAAGAGACGAGAAGACCACAAATAATCTCTCAGTGACGTGGACTGAGAGAAATGGATCACACAGGCCTTACCTGAGGCACACCTAGAGCTCTGAGGCCCTGAAAAGTCAGACCACCTCTCAAGACTGAAATGAAGCCATGGAATGCCATAATTTAGACAAAAAAATTTTTAGACCTGTGCTGGGGTGTCAGGTAATGCAGAAGAAACTACACATACCCGTTTCCCATTTAGAAAAGTGCAACTGTCAGAATTACTTTATTTTGTAAATGGAAACACCACTACTAAAAGCAGAGTGCTACAATGTCTTTGTTTCCAAAGGCTACCAATATACTAGAGCGATGTGAAAATAGCAAAAGTGAGATATTCCGTGGGAAGCTTTAGGGTTCTCTTGGCTGGCGGTGAGTATTCTTGAGGAAAATAGGAAAAGTGTAGTGTGATGAGCTCTGACACAGGGATACACCTATGAAACCACCCCATGGCCACCAAGAGTCCCTGGGCCTGTGTAGGGCTATCCCCTGTCCCAGGCAACCCAGCCTCTGTTACTGATTAGACTGCATTTTCCAGCTGTGTATGTGTGTGCATGTGTGCACGCATATGCTTGGGACTGAACCCAGGGACTTTGAACTGAGCTACAGCCCCAGCCCCTAAGCTCTCCAGCCCTCTACCTGCTACCTTTTTAAAAACTGAGATAAAGTCTTGCTAAGTCACTACATTATCCAGGTTAGATTCAAATTTGCCATCCTCCTGCCTCAGCCTCCCAGACTGTTGGGATGAGAATTGTGAGCCACCATGCCTGGCATATGTCTAACCGTGTAAGAAACCACCCAGCTGGTTTCTAGGGTGGCTGCACACTCCAGGTTCCTGCCAGCAGTGAATGAGAGCCCCACTGCTCCCCACCCTCACCAACACCGGGACAGATGGGCAGCCTTCAGGTTAAACCTATCTATGAAGGGATGGTGGTTTCTCCCTGTGGTTAAATTTGTGTTTCCCTAATAGCTAATGATCATGAGCATCTTTCCATGGGCTTGTTTCCAGTTTGTGTTGTCTTCCTTGGTGATGTGTCTTTTTAAATCTTTTTTGCCCATTAGAAAAATTCCCGTGTTTTGAGAGGTTTTTTTGCTATATTCTGGTTACAAGTCCTTACATTCATAATTTGCAATTATTTTCTCAGACTTTGGTTGTCTTTTAATTCTCTTAACAATGTCTTTGAAAGAGCAGTTTTTCTTTTCTTTCTTTTCTGAGACAGAGTCGTGCTATGTAGCCCAGGCTGGCCTCAGACTTGAGATTCTCCTGCCTCAGCCTCCTGAGTAGCTGGGATCACAGGGATGTGCCACCATATCCAGTTCCTTTCTTTTTTCTTTCAGTGGTAGGAGTTGAACCCAGGGCCTCAGCCTTGCCAGGAAAGGACTCTACCACTAGCCGTACACCTCAGCATCAGGCAGCGTGTTTTTTAAAAAAGATGATATACATAATAAAGCTTTGCTTAACCCAAGGCTCTATCAAGGCTTCCTCCTAGAGGTTTTACATTTAGGTCTATGATGTTCTGGGGGTTCATTTTTGTATATCATATGAGGTGGGGATCCAAGTTTCTTTTTTGGCAGGTAGTGCCGTTCTTTCACTTCTTCCGTTTCCAAAGTTTTGCCTGGTCTATGTCCTTTATACTGTATTTCCACGTGAATTTTAGATCAGTCTGTCAATTTCTACCAAAAAAGCCTTCAAGGGTTGTGATTAACAGTTTGAGCTTAAAAATTCAAAACAATTCTAAAGATAGAAATAAAATCATGACATGTCAGAATATAAATGGTGTGCCTTGATAAAAAGGCTTGTACTATAAAACCCATCTAATTTTTATTGTTACTTCTGTTACAGAATTAATTCCACATGATTCAAATTCTGTTGGCTGTCTGAATGAGCTTGTCAACATTTTTTAAAAACAAAAAGCCAAAGTCAAATACATTTTCCTTCGGATGGTGGATCCATCGTGGGAACGAGGGAACTGCATGACCAAGACCAGCCGGCAAGGGTCTGCTGATGTACAGGGCTTTGCTCAAAGTAGTACCAGCCCGTGCTGGGTACATGGTTCCAAAGCCTAGTTTTTCTGTACTTAATACAGCAGACACCACATTCTTCTGGAGAGGGGCTCAACAACTGGCTCAGTGGGTAAATCTGGTCAGCTGGCCATTCATAAATAAAGTTTTATTGAGACACAGCCAGGCCCACTCATTTCCTACTGCCTGCGATGCTTTTATGTCACAACAGCAGACACCCCAAGCCCTGCAAAACAGAAGTGCTATCAGGTCTTTCACAGAAAAGTGCCGGCCAGCTCTTGAGCTGGACTCCAGGTCTGCACTTTCCAACATGGCAGCTGTAGCTGTAAATGGCCATACAAACTTCAGTGTACCACATTTAAACACAGTGAACGATTCCATTCCTCAGTCACACTGACTGCGTCTCAATGCTTTGAAGCCATGTGGCCAGTGGCTGCTGCACAGGACTCCATAGCAGGACACTTTGGAAATGTGGAAAGCTCTGCTGGTCAGTGCAGCCTGGGGACACTGGAATCTACAGTCCAATTTTAACAGTAACATAGACAAGGGTATCAGGACTCATCGGCCACTTGTCTTCTACTTTCTCATAATCAGCACTATAATGAACATTTGTGTAAGCATGCACTTTCATACTGCTCTACTCGCTACACTTGGATAAGTGCTAAGAATGGAGTCATGAGGTCCACAGGCATGCCCATCTGTGTCCCCTACACAGCTGAGCTGCCCTGTGGACCCTGCACCAATCTGCTCCACAAGGAGGGAATGAGTTCACCATTATTCTTTAAAAATGGGGCTTTTTTTTTTGGTACTGGGGATCAAACTCAGGACCTTGCGCTGGCGGAATCACTGAGCTAAATCCCCGGCCCCAAAATGGGGCTTTTGTTTTGGCTTTTCTTTCCTAAAGAAGACAAGAACAAGACTTAAAAACTAAAAAAATCAAGCAGTTCAAAAGAGAATTTAAAACTACCCAGTATCTCAATTCCCTGTGCTAGAGATGAATGTTATAGACCACTTCTTGCATGGCCCTGGAGACTGTCTGTGTGGGGAACTTCATAGGAACCAGCATTTCCCTCCAGGCCAGCGGCACACGGTCCCAACCCTGGCTGCCTTCATCACCTAGGACACTATGATCTCCTCAGGTGTATCATCTATGTGAGTTTACCTCCACCTGCTGCTGCAGTAGCAGGTGCACTGGCTGTCTGTGTACACACCTTTGCACACCTTGTGCTGTGTGAGCACAGCAATGGGACTGACTCCTAACCCAGAAAACTTTCGGGTCAAAGGTATGTGTGTTTTCTTTATATATTTAGCATTAGCTGCACAACAGGTCCAAGACTGTGCTAAAAAACAAAGAGGGATGCACCGTATTCCAGGCTAAATCCAACTACTGGGTTTGTAAGTGAATTCAATCAACTAGTACCTAAATTTCCAAATAGTAATTCCCCAAATCACCAGTTTGACAGAGTCTTTGTTTTTGTCCACATGTCAAAGGTGTTTCTTCTTGAATATATAAACAAAATATATAGAATTTTAGGTATAAATATTATTTTGTACTGTAAATCACTCTGAATCAAACAATACCACCAACGTCAAGTGGTCAAGTAAACAGCCCAGCACAGAGCCATGAATCTTCTCCCTATGATGATGATTTTGTCTTTTCTTGAAATTTCTCATACATGGGCTCCTTCCACCTCACAGTATGCTGAGAGGCATTTGTGTTCCTCTTGATTACTGGGTGACACGTCACTGCATGGACACACCCCACCTGCTTACCTGTCCCATTCCCTAGCTGCACATGAGTGTGCCATTCCCACATGGGCTCTCGTGAAGAATTCTACTACAAATGCTCACCAACAAACCTCTAGTGGAGGTGAGTTCATTCCACTTCTGGGTAGGAAGCCTGGGTCGGATGGTTAGTGCATATCTAAGGAATTGCAACAATTTCCCAAAGTGTCTGCACATCTGTCCTTGTCCAGGGATGCATAAGGGCTCCACTTCTCCACATCCAAATGTTGTGCCAGATTTGATTATTTATTTCTTCATTTACGAACAGAGCTGGAGGTCCGTTTCTGTCTCTCCATCAAGCAGCCATGGGAGCAAAGGTAAACATGGTGGAGGTACCTTGAGGTGTGAACAATTATTAACTGAAGTCCAGAGTCCAGATCTGCCAAGTCAGATGGCCAGAAAGCACTGCCATTATCTATTAATCTTTCCTTTGAAAACATAATTCCAGCACGTTAGCCAGCAAAAAGCATGAAAAGACAATTGAAGTGGACAATGTTGCAAAGGAGCCCCAACACAACTAGGGGATACAGCGCTTGCAGAACCAACTGACAACACCAGTTAAGAAATGTACTCAACCTTAAACAAATGAACAACATGCAAATATTTGCAAAGTGGATGAGATGTAAATATTTGCAAAGCCAAGTTATTTTCATAATTGAAACAGAAGTAAACACAATGGCAACCAGTGACTGGCTCACTTTGCCAAACACCTTCAGTAACAGTGCAGATGCACCCACCCAAGGAATCCAGTGCCAGGCAGGGAAGAGACTGCCACGGCAGGGATCAAAGTTCATGGTGGGGGTCAGGAGGAGGATCAGGCTGCACCCCACCTCCTGTAAAGGTGGGAGCTTTCTCTCAGCAGGCTGCAGGCTCTGGCTCCCGTGGTCCTTGCCAAGGACGGAGTCAAAGACCAGAGGGAACTCAGTGACCAGCACTCAAGGTGATCAGATCCAACCTCTTCCAGTGCCACAGGAGTCATGGGGCTGCCCTCTGCTTGGATCAGACAATAAAAGATTGTCTTTCATCCTCCCCAGGAAGCAACACCGGATTATTTTAAAAAATATTAATTCAAACAAAAATCAGGCATAGGGTTCAGACCACTGCAGCTGCAGAGCAGCAGCTGTTCCAATACATACTCTCATGGCAGGTTGTGCAGGGT